CCAGCGGGGTCGGCGGCTTGAGCCGGAGGCTCTTAAATTTAGAGGGTAGAGGGTTTAGGGTTTAGAGGGTAGAGGGTTTAGGGTTTAGGGTTTAGGGTTTAGGGTTTAGGGTTTAGGGTTTAGGGTTTAGGGTTTAGGGTTTAGGGTTTAGGGTTTAGGGTTTAGGGGTGCATGTCAGGCCAATGTTTGCCAGCTTTGGTTTCGGGTTGGCCCTTACACTGACAGTCCTTGATAGGGATTCTACTAGGGAGTACTTCTATCCCCATTAAGGACGGTTCGGTTTTGGTATAAAGGGGGAACATCCCAAGCTTAGGGCTTCTGGGTTGCGGGCTTGAGTTTTTTTGAGGTTTGCGGCATGGAAGCGATGGCAACCGAAGAGAGCCAAGCAGCACGGGATGTCCAGCGCTTCCCTCGCTGTGCTGGTTGCACTTATTGGCTGGCTCCTTTGCGCGCACCCTACGAGCTCCCGGGGGTCCAAGGACTCAGGGTACCTATTGCAGCCCTTCCGAAAGGATGGGAGTCATAACATATTTCAGAGCACGTCAGGGGTACATAGCTTTTGCTTGAGAAATACCCACAATGATCGAGAGCTCAATCAAGCTCGGACTCTCTCCGTAGAAAGCCCCTTCCCCCCCGATCTTCGCATGACAGGCTCCCCCAAGATTTCAAGCCCGTCCTCGTCCGATGAAGAGGTGTCGTCACAGTCCTGCGGGACTGAGGCAACAGCGGCACCGCCATCGCCGACTGCGGCAAAAGGAGTACCGCCATCGCCTCCTTCTGCATCTTGCAAATTCGCGAATGCGCCCACGCCTGTGGCACCCGACATGCCCATTGCCGTGGAAGAACAGCACCCTAAACCCTAAACCCTAAACCCTAAATCCTAAACCACGCACCTAATCCTACGCCCTCCCTTGCTTCGGGCTCGCGTACAAATGCTCACTCTGCTCTCCCTTGAGCCTGCCGAGCCAGGACCGATAGCCGGAGTGATTTCCGCCGTGAAGCCTAAGCGCGGCGGCGCACTGTGGGCTCGACCCTGTGCAGCGTCATCCTCATCCTCACTCTCGTCCTCATGAAACTGGAGGAAGGTGAAACGGTAGGCGATGCGCATGGCAAGACCAAGCCAAAACGAGCTCTGAGCCGAAACCGCTCACAGAAAAAGGCGCCTTTGCGTCCCCTCCCCCACTCCCCCCTCCCACTCGCACGGAGACCGGGAAAGGTGCGAACCTCGGAAAAACACCCCTCCTAGGACCTCTTCGTTTAAAAAATCCTCCTCCTTTTCTTTGGAGGAAAGGCATATACAATGGCTCCGTTGAGTTTGGGATGGTGTCCCTCTTCTTGGTGCAGGGCTCCTCGCTTCCCATGGTCCAGGGCCCCGCATCAGGGCTACGTGGGATCCTACGACTACTGCGTGGGACAGCACTTCGGGCTGTTGACAGCTCCAAAAAAAGGCTCTCACGTTCATGACAGGCTGCTCCTGACCCCTAAGAGCCTAAGTTCTCTGAGGGCCTGGGGCTCAACAGTTCTACAGGTTGCAGAGTAAGTGTGGACGGAGAGTCGGGGAGCCAAAGAACGGATTTTGCAAGAACCCTCGGGTTCAAGGGGGGGGGGGCCAATGTAGCCACAAGACTCGCACCAGAAGAAGGGCACACGCATGCCCAAGGCAACCTCTTTCAGTGTGAAGGGTGCGTTCAGAAAGGGCACCCAGGAGGCCGTTTGGGCTTCGGGGGTGGTTGCGAAGAATTGCGTTCCGGTTCTTATGGGTTCTGCCGAAGCCGCTGCCAGAAATGCCATTGACGCCTTAACCCGTGAACTCGCCCGAGCCCGTCCCCCATGTGACTTGGAATCCCCCCAGCCGCCCCTGGACCACCTCAACTCCGAATCCGACACACGCCCCTCCCACAAACCCGCCTCGTTCAGGCCCATAGAGCCCTCCCCAGTGATGATGCGCCAATCCTTCATGCCCGGCGATCGCGTGCACTTGAATAAAAGAAAGCTAACACCACATGGCTGGAAAAAGGTAAGGGCAAAAGCCGAAACAACCATTTTTTTCGGCTTCTGTCCAGAGACCGCAGGGATGGGGTGGAGGCAATCGGTTTTGGGGTTCTGGGGGCTGATATGGGGGGCTCTCAAGCAGACATCGACCGCTCTGCCAGGAGCTGCCCAGATTCCTACAACTAAAGCTGAGTTTGCGGAATGAAACTTAGGTACCACTCTGCCCCCAAAAAAACTAAAAGGTTGATCAAGGGCTTCAGGGCTGATGGTATCAGGTGCAGGGAAGACCCCCAAACCCTAAAGCGCGCCGGGTCGCGCAGCAAAGCGCTAGGCAGCAGCCTCCCGCAGGGCACGCGCCGTTGATGACCGCCACGGTGGCGAGCCTGGGCTTTGTCGGACTTGCTTTGGCTCAGTTTGCGCGTGGGAGGCGGCAAGTCGCTTAGGCAATGGCCGTTTTTGGCCACGACTGCAAAACATGTCCTAGCCTAGGCCTCTCAGGCAGCATAGGGATGCACCCAGAAACCAAGGAACACCCCCAAGAGCCAAGGCAGCTTCAAACAAGGCAAAAATGCTCCCTTACTCGCCTCCTGTTCTAAGCATGTCTAAGCATTTGTCATGCAAAGCTCTTCTAGGAGGCCCTGCAGAAGCTTGTGCCCCAAGCACCCAGGGTGCAAGTGTTTTCATTAGTCGTTGGTGGCTGGGACGAAAACTGGCATGCCTTTAACATGGTCTTAAACACACCCATCAATCACGCAGAGACGGTCAGATCGGTTGTTTTCTGGCGACAACAGGTCTGCAAAACATCCTATGCGGTGAGTACCAGGTGGTATGTGGACAACTACGCGGCCCCGAGGGCCTCAAAGGACCCAAGGGAACCTAGTTCATTGTTGGGACAATATTAACAATTTAAATGTTTGTTCCTTATGGGTGTAAGTACCCTTTAAACATGTAAAGTAGTACCCAACTATGACAAAGGAACAGGAGGCCCTGGTTTGATATTGGATGGTTGCGGTGGCACAGCCCAAGATATCACATTTTGAATGATAACCCTAAACCCTAAACCCTAAACCCTAAACCCTAAACCCTAAACCCTAAACCCTAAACCCTAAGCCCTAAGCCCTAAGCCCTAAACCCTAAACCCTAAACCCTAAACCCTAAACCCTAAACCCTAAACCCCCCCCCCCCCCCCCCAGTGCATCACAAACGGTTACCCTGAGGCCTGGCTTCTTTAATGACCGAAGGCCCCCTGCGTAGACAGCTCGAGAACCAGCACCTTTAAGCTTAGAACCTCGACTACAGCAACTCATTGGCACATGACTTCCTGATTGTTCCTGCGCGTTGCGCATTGGTTTTGGCAACCACAAGACCGCAGTCCCTTAGAAAATCTCGAACAACCTGGCCCTTGATCTTTTTGAGGACAACATGGCTGCTACGATCGCTCTGGAGCGCGGCTTCAACCAGGCCGCCTGCTGTTGTAGATCCGCGTGAGAACCTGTGGAAGGGAAGCTTGAAGCTTCAATCCCCTCCCCGCATGCCCCCCCAATATTAGGGGGTAAGCCCTAAACCCTAAACCCTAAACCCTAAGCCCTAAACCCTAAACCCTAAACCCTAAACCAAAACCCTAAGGGGAGGGGATTACAGTATTTGGCTCAAGGACTGCCGAAGTTTCAGACTCTTGCTCTCAACCTCACAGGCGCCCCTGCTGGCGAGATCCGGGTTGGTCCAATTTGCAACAGTCCAAGATTGCTCTTTGAGGATTGCCAGGAATCCCAATCCCCAAGTCCCAGGTTCTTGGAACCCCAAACCCTAAACCCTAAACCCTAAACCATGCCCCCACGAAGCTTGTCAGCCGCCCTTCCCGACATCCTTTGAACCTGGAAACCGCCAACCCCAAACCCTAAACCCCAAAAACCCTATGTTTGCCGTCAACCCCAAAACCCTAACGCGGCCCCCTACACCCTAAACCCTGACACCCTAAAACCCTAAACCCTAAACCCTCTTTTACTATGTATATTTAAACCCTAATGACCTTCGTCGGCAAGTGGTTTTTTTCCACCCAGGTGGGCCCTAAACCCTGACCCCCTTCGTCGGCAAATGGTTTTTTTCCACCCGGGGGGGGCCCTAAACCCTGACCCCCTTCGTCGGCAAATGGTTTTTTTCCACCCGGGGGGGTCCTAAACCCTGACCCCCTTCGTCGGCAAATGGTTTTTTTCCACCCGGGGGGGTCCTAAACCCTGACCCCCTTCGTCGGCAAATGGTTTTTTTCCACCCGGGGGGGGCCCTAAACCCTGACCCCCTTCGTCGGCAAATGGTTTTTTTCCACCCGGGGCCCCCCCAAAACACCCCAAATGAGGGGGACCCCAGGATCGGCCCCGGCCCCAGTTCAAAATGCGATTTTTTAGTATTGAAATCGACGGTTCTGGGTGGCCTCCTGTTTTCTGGATTTTTGACCAAAACCGGGGGGGGGCCCTAAACCCTGACCCCCTTCGTCGGCAAATGGTTTTTTTCCACCCGGGGGGGGCCCTAAACCCTGACCCCCTTCGTCGGCAAATGGTTTTTTTCCACCCGGGGGGGGCCCTAAACCCTGACCCCCTTCGTCGGCAAATGGTTTTTTTCCACCCGGGAGGGGGGCCCTAAACCCTGACCCCCTTCGTCGGCAAATGGTTTTTTTCCACCCGGGGGGGCCCTAAACCCTGACCCCCTTCGTCGGCAAATGGTTTTTTTCCACCCGGGAGGGGGCCCTAAACCCTGACCCCCTTCGTCGGCAAATGGTTTTTTTCCACCCGGGGAGGTCCTAAACCCTGACCCCCTTCGTCGGCAAATGGTTTTTTTCCACCCGGGGGGGGGGGCCTAAACCCTGGCCCCCTTCGTCGGCAAATGGTTTTTTTTCACCCGGGGGGGGGGGCCCTAAACCCTGACCCCCTTCGTCGGCAAATGGTTTTTTTCCCCCGGGGGGGCCCTAAACCCTGACCCCCTTCGTCGGCAAATGGTTTTTTCCACCCGGGGGGGGGGGGGAGGGCCCTAAACCCTGACCCCCTTCGTCGGCAAATGGTTTTTTTCTATTTGGGGCATAGGGTTTAGGGCTCGTAGGGTTTGGGGCATAGGGTTTAGCTCCCAAAACACCCCAAATGAGGGGGACCCCAGGATCGGCAAGGGTCCCAGTTAAAAATGCGATTTTTTAGTACTGAAATTTTCTGGGTTTTTGACCAAAACCGAGCCTTCACCGATCGGGGCTTCTAAACCGTAGGGTTTAGGGCCCTAAGAGCATAAAGGGCTTATTGCGGGCCTTAGATTAGATTTCGGCTTTTGGGTCCGTGAAAAACTAAAATATTTTGGACCAATTGGACTTTGAGCTTTAAGCCTACCGAGAAAGTATTGAGTGAACTTTATATTTTCTCAATGTTATGGGTTTCTTGGGTGGGTGGGATTTTTTTCCAACGCTTGACAAGCTGCTTGACTAGTGAATGCTCGGACTTGAGATGCTGAACCCTAAACCCTAAACCCTAAACCCTAAACCCTAAACCCTAAACCCTAAACCCTAAACCCTAAACCCTAAACCCTAAACCCTAAACCCTAAACCCTAAACCCTAAACCCTAAACCCTAAACCCTAAACCCTAAACCCTAAACCCTAAACCCTAAACCCTAAACCCTAAACCCTAAACCCTAAACCCTAAACCCTAAACCCTAAACCCTAACCCCTAACCCAAAACCCTAAACCCTAAACCCTAAACCCTAAACCCTAAACCCTAAACCCTAAACCCTAAACCCTAAACCCTAAACCCTAAACCCTAAAACCT